GGAAGAGCGCCATCGTCGCGGTCGCGACCTGCCGCGCAGAACTGACCCCTTGCGCCAACACCACAAGGCACTTCATACCGAAGTCGCTATTACACCACTATGCTTCTACCGTTCTGCGTTTAGCGATACACTGACTTCACCTCTATTACCAACACTTTAAAGCGAACCAACACTATCGTAAAGTCGCTTGAAGCGAACGAGCTGTTTTCCAACGTTAAACTGAAGATGTCTAGTATTTCTTGTTTATGATAGCATAAATATGTTCGCTATGGTAGCTAAATTTATTCTACGATATCAATACAACAACCACCATATATTGTGTTACAAAAACGGAACTAGGGTACTAACTACCGTATCGTTATAGCTTCATTAATTCTACGTTCATAAACAAACAATTTATTCCTTGGGAAAACAGGCAACTATACGTACATGTCACATTGTATTACTAAACAATGTAATACAGAAATTGATAAGACTAATTAATATTATGAATCGGGCAGTAAATTTCTTTATTTGTTAGAATTGTCATAGGCTGACATAGCCTAGATCAAAAATTACTTCTACAAAGATTTCGTATCAGCTTTTAGTTTATAATATACGCTCGAGAAAGAAACAAAGTAATAATAACGTTATACTTAAGTAAAAATAATGTCCAGAGAAAAAACTGTAGTAAAACTGTCTAGGGTGTACGGAGAACCATTACTTTTGATATAAACAAAATAACAAAATATGAGCGTCCGGCCGCTGAGTGCCTCTACTTTTATATTTCATGAGCCAATTTAACTGTTGACCCGCTCTTACTTTTTCATCGTATGAAACAGTTTTAAGCTTGTGTATTAATTATTATTCGCTTAAACTAAAGATTAATTTATTAATTAACTTTAGAACAGAAACCTTAAAAACCGAAGCTATGTTTCGACTTAATTCTATGATAATATCTAATCTTTACATTTATAAAGTATGATATCGGGTAAAGTATGTAATGGTATGTATGGTAAAGTATGATATACCTACCCTAAAAATATTGTACCTACTTTTGATTGTGATATTTTTTTAAGAATTACAAATAAAACTTATTTTTTATTGACAAAATTAGTAAAGATATTCAAACTGAAATTCGTCCGTAACAAAAAACGTTGCGAAAGTGACAATAACCCTTCGGAGGTCGATTCTTGAGCTATGTAAGGGAAGCCGGCCAGTCGGGTCATTGAACTGTCAGCGAATATATCGTTTCGAATCATTACAAAACATCAAACTAAATCGGTTTGCACTATTAGACAATCTTGGCTTGTTTACAAACAAGCCAAGTTTGGGTTTGGTTCCCGAGGAAAACCTGTACATTGTGAACATGTTCACTCTGTTGATTCATTTATCAACGAATCCCGGAAAAAGTGTAATAATGTCTTTCGATTCCTGGAGTAGTAATTGCTTCAGGTTGTTTGGTTTGACATTACCAATGACAGATTCAGAAGTACCTCTGCCCCTAAATAGCGGACTATAGGACGTGAAACAATAAAACGGACACAGATATATGTCTCATGGCTTCGCACTGCGTGAGCTACAGCAGTTTGCATGCACTTTCCTTCATCTCACGTCAATCACTGTCCATACATAATAGCTTAATTTTTCTCTCGCAAAGATCACTTCATAACAGCAAAGGCCCCAAGCTACTTATTACCGCTTCAATAAACGCTTTGTTGAACTATAATTATTATTATATTTTCATACACATTGGAGAGAAAACAGGCATACACCTCATTTAATGTGTAAGGTGATACTGCGGTATGGACACTGTTTATGCTATCTTAAAGGAACATGCGTTTTCAATCGGGAATAGCTCTACGACAGCTGATTTGTAAAATTGGTTATAATGTGAAAATCCGAGTGAAAGATAGATACACTTCGAGGTCAAAATATAAAGTTCGTCTTATATGTCGAAAAAATAATTTCCATGTTAAAATTATTGCTAGATTCTAAAAAATATAACGAAACCGCGTGGAAATGGCAATAGCTTTCAGAGGGCGATATTAAAATGTATGGAAATAAATTCAGCTTCGCATTCGGCCGTACTTTGGGGGTGCAGTAAAAATAAACATTGACGCTATTAGAACTCACTTCCATATTCAAATTTATGAACGCAGTCCGCTACTGTCACTGGACACTATGATATTATAAATTGTTCAAACGGTTAACATTTTACTACGCGGATATATGTTGTTGACCTACGTGTACCTAATTGTGGGGGGGCATATGCATAATGTCGTTTTAGGGGCTGTCAAATATTTTTTTCTATAAAGAACGATATGATTTAGCTACGCACTGAAATGTGGAGTTTAGTCCTTAACAGTAAAGGGTTGATAAATTATACATGTGTTTTAGTTAGTTACTTTCTATAAATATATAATATGCAAACAATTATTTGAATATATAATGACCTATATAAAAACAAACTGCTACGTCTAACATCATTTCCCATATCAACTCCATATCACGTGTGTGTATAGTGCATAGTAAAAACCTTGAAGAGCCGTAGCTAGGTATTCGGTACATATCTCGGATTACCTGGGTTTGGGATAAATTTTCATACTTCATTGATAGTCGTTCTTCTAAATGCTTATGGATAAAATCGCTAAAAATGATCAACTTATACCCGTGGCCTATTGGGCGGTAACAGACCATACAACAAACTTGAAGATGTTGTACATAAAAGTTACATTAAAATATAAATAGATATGATAGAATGGGGTACGGTAACATTAAGCAGCGGTAGCTTAAATAAACATACGATTTCAAAAATTTGTGTATTTAAATCGAATGTGACTTGTGTTAGTGGAGCTATTTCTGTTTAACAGCCATACTGAATCTGAAATAACACCTACAATGAACATACATTTATTCACAAGGGATAAGGTTTCCCCATAAATAGGAGGTTAAAATCAATAATTTTGTAAATGCCTGTCTATTGAAGATGGCTTTAGTGGCTTACGCGTGACCCCCATCCCTGAGGTCGTGCGTTCGAATCACGGGTGTGAATTTACTTTCTATATGCAAAAGCAATTTGCTAGGCAAACATCGTAAGGATACCGAGATGTCTCAAACCGAAAAATCGATGGCAATACTTGTCTATAAAATAAAATTGAAGAAACGCATGCAAACTGAAGCCAAGACCCATTACCGAGGACCAACAATTATTATTTTTAATTCAAAGACAATTGAATACTACTGGGACACTACTATTTATTTTTATACCGATACATAGATGACTTACGAATCAATAGGCTAAATTTGACAGAGCCGAGCAGAGTCGAATTATTGTGCTTATTATTAATAGGTATTTTATCACAATCTATTAAATTTTTTGGGGCAACACATCGCCCATGGAGATTGGACACCCAAATAAAATTTTTGTTTTTATAAAATTTAAATTTGCACAACATAAACAGATCATAAATTATAGATATAATGTATAATCTGTATGTAAACAAACCAAAATAACACACAACTCCGTCCACGCAGCCACATAAAAGCTCCGAGCCGATCCGATGCATATTCATTCATACAGACAGATATAAAAAGTGAGCTGCTGTCGATCGTTAATTAAAACTTTAATTGATTTTATCAGATAGCATACACAATGTCGACTCACTAAAGTGAATTTATTAAATACAAGTGGTGTCTAACTTGTACTCGGGAACTTTAATTAATATTTTTCAAACAAGTTTTTATTTAATTAGAATTGTTTTAACGTAAATATTCGATCCCTATCATATTATATTTAAATCGTAAATAGCTAAATAAATTATTTGTTAGGTTTCAATTTAATAACTCGGTATTACAAAATACTACTTAGGTTTCTTAATAAGCTGGTTCAATAAAAACAGTTATTATAAACGAACGATAGACACAACAAAATATACACAAAACGTCAAGTTAAAGTTGTTATAACTTTAAATGGGAGGCTTTAAGTTTAAATAAGTACAATTATAAAGCGGTAGCGAACACGTCTCGGCCCGATGACTGGCAGATTCTTCCAAATTGCTTCTATCACATTAATATTGGATCCCGGGGACTACCTATTTAATTTAAAACACAAAAAGACTCCCCACATCCGCTTTATTAAAAAAACTGTCGATTTGGGAATCTAGTTAGTTGTCATTGTAGGATTTGTTACAGCTGTCATTGTTTCACTGATGTTCACTGATGACTGGTGGAAATTTTTTATCGCTCATAGATTTATCGGCTGACTTTGAACTCTGTTAATTGTGGTATTTGGGTTTTTTAACGTAGATTGTAAGTATCTAGTATTAATTTTGATAATAAAACACTTATATTGATATTATGAACAATAAGATTAATAATCTTTTTTTATTATTATTGGAATATAAATAAAATATTGACGAGCATAAACCTAGGTCATAAACAGTATAGTTGATTCATTTAATATACACGGACATTTTAACATTGAATTTTTAAATAAAATGCATTGTTTTTATTACATTATAAATATTATGTATATGAAATCTAAGTACATATATATATACAGATCTGTATGCTAGGCTAAAATTATTGCATTTTATTTTCTTATTAATTTTAAATTATCTTGTATAAAAAATACTTGTAAATAAGAAACAGTACACCACCCACAAGAAATAAAAACATATTTATTAGTATATCAGCAATACTTGCTACCAAGTTTATGCTTGTGAACACTATACTGATAAATAAATATTATGTTTATAATCGCTGTAGTTTACTAAACTAATCCTAGATACGATTAAATTATAACATGTAACACAATACAATATCGCATCTACGTTGCCAATGAAAACAAATGTACTAATTCACAAACAAAGGATTATAACTTACAAAGTGTAGGTTCAATTAGCGAATGTGGGAGGCTTCGCGGGGCGCGCGCCATCTAGCGGGCGACACCTCCCGCCGCCCACCGGCGTCTCGGCCGCGGCTGGGCACATGTCACTTATGAATATGAGGCGTTATGATTATGAAATATGCCCCGCCCTGAATATTGAATATAGAGGAGGGAGAGCTCGGAACGCGTGCGAATGGGCGAAGTTTGATTTATGAGCCGGGGCCGGCCCCGCCTCCCTGTCATAACCGTGTACCTGGTGCGCGCGCGCGCGGCCGCCGCCCGCCGCTCGGCTCAGTCCCGCGTCAGATGGCGAGAGGAGCGCCCGGCTGTTCGTTCGTGCCGCACTCTGAGTGACCCGGCCGCGAGTGAGCCCTGTGACCGCCTGACGGCCTGCCATGCGCCGGCTGTGACCCGCCAGCCCCAGCGCGCTAGCCATGCCGCGCGTCAAGCCTGCCTGCGTCCGCCGCGTCTCCATCGGTACTTACTTCTTCACTATCACCAAACACCCCACACAAGGACTGTGAAGCCTCCGCAAGGAGCACTTATCGTGTTACCATTCCATAAGTTTTGTTTATTGATATGATTCAGTTTGCAACGATTAAATTTGGCATCCATCAAAAAGTGCGCAAAAAAATTCGGCTCTTGCGTGGTGAGTAAACAGTGTAGTGAAATGTTGAGATTGTTGTCAATATCGAGATCTAAGGATCTGTCAGTAGGTAGGTATAATCAAACACAAATATAAATGTGTTTTAAAACGATAGGAATTAATATTTTGTCGTATCTTGAAAACATAATTATTTAAGTTTGCATTTCTTAACAAAAACAAAACGCAAATTATCTATTAAAAATGCAGTCATAAAATCATTTATGTTTTTTAATATTTATGACTGAATAATGTATTTTTAAATAGTCAATTCCTCAGTAATGTTAGAGAAAGTTAATTTGGTTAAAAATAATTGAAAATATGCCAATCGTTTTTGCTATCAGATTCTATGTTAGTTGTTTTAAACTCTCACCTTTTAGTGCTTAATTTCATTTGTAGCTGCTTGCGGGTTGTAACATAGGGTTGAAAGTGTAATTTTTCTCACAATACGAAAATGCTCTGTTGGATTGTAGCTATTCATATAACGCTGCTTCAAAATCTTTTGTTTTCGAAATAAATGGCTAGAAATAGCCACTTGTGAAGGCTTTCTTTTTCCACAATTGCCAGTTATATCTTTCAATTTTAAATAAAAAGATTTTAATTCGCGTCCTAATTTTCATTACCTTATGAAATTCTACAGTTTTCATATTAAATTCACCTTTTGAAGCATTTTAATAAAATATTATGAATTTATGTAATAGCATATTATAATGTATTAATGCGCTAAGGTTAAACAATTAAAACATTATTATACCGTAATTGTTGTAAAATTAATGTCGGAAATAATATTTTGATACTTGATAGATATGATTTGAACAAGATAGAAGAAAAAATTGCTTAAAATGTTGCTCTGTAAAATAAATTTATTGATTATAAAAACAAAATGAATCTATAGATATTACTTAAGATTTTGAATATTAGGGTGTGTCATATAAAAGCTTGTTAAAAACAGACTCTCTGTTTACGCTTTAAGAGCTGTATTCAAATGTCACAACAAAATATATCACTTTTTGATAAAAGCCTTAAGTGGCTGTATATTAGACGAATGACGGGCTGTCAAAATTTATTTATCAGCTTCATACACTCATTTTTATGGACACTATAAAATATTTAGTGAGTTTTATCAATAAATGCATAGTCATATTGAAAAATTTAACGAATATAAAATTAAAAATCTATACTATCCGGTTCTATGTCGTATTTACTAAAATGAAATATTGATACATATTGCGTCCATTTACCTTGAATGATGAATAATTATTACTTTGGAATAAATTATTGACTTTCTGTAAGTGGATTAATTACCTTTGAGTTTCAAATAGTTTCAATATTCAAATCTGTTTTAATAAATTGCAGCCGATATCTGTCTAGAGAAATTGAATTTTGATTTAAAGTAGTCTAACATATTTACGCGATATGTTAATTTCCGGTTTCTATTATCTATGAATCAAAATATGTTATCTGTTGACAAAACTTGCGGTTAAGAGATAAATACATCTATCTTTCTTTCTTTCTAGTATTCCCTATAAAGACGGTTTTCATTGTATATCAACCCTAAAACAAATGCTTAGGTTTTTTGAAGTAAATGTAAAGAAATAATAAAAAAACAAGATATATTTTTATTCAGGACTAAACCACGGAGATGGTTTTATACACAAATTTACGAAAACATCTATTAAAATATGGTTATCGGATGAGTAATGTTACTTTATAAAATCTTAAGTTTATGTAAGTACCTACTGCCTCTCCTTCTAAATATTTGCCTAAGACTATTATTAAAATAATACAAATAAAAAACAATACTAGAAACTTTTTAGATTACATTTTTTTGTTTCAATATTGTGCCAGTCCCAAAACAAATTTTAAAAACTACCCAACAATGAAACAGGAAATCTTCGTACTTAAAATTCAGTAGCTCATAATTGTTATAATATTTATACTCATTTAGGCAGCTTTAGGGTCGGTTACTTTGAGGTGTCCTCTTTTTCTATTTCTTCGAAACGACAATCGCTGCCACCTTTGAATCTCAAAATTGCGACAAATAACTAATCCGTCTAACAATACCAACTATCTATGAGACATTTAAGCTCTAACCGCAAGCTTAGACCGGATTATTATAAATGCTTTGTCGCGGTGTTCACTTTTCCCTTTGCAATGTAAACATTCATTAAGTGCCGACTTTTAAAGGAAGTGTAAGTGCGGTGAAATAATCGTCGATTTTTAGGGACTTTGAAGAGCGACATAGTTCGATAAAATCACAATTTGTACTAATAAATACTATAGAAATGTAACTCAGTTCACGGAATTTGTGGCTTATTTTTTAATATATATACATAAGTCATACAACCCGAAAGTTATAGATTCGAAACAAAATAGATATTGATTAGGAGGAAGCTGATCACTTATTTGACTAAATACTTTTCAGTCAAATCCATGATTATTAAAAAAAATAACTTTCAATTTATAATATGGCAACTTCCTGCACTTGTTTCGACAGATTCTGAACGCGTTTTCCAAAATTAGCTTTTCTTTTGTGGAATTTATCATTGTTGGAGTAATTCATCAAACGGAATTAGAATCCATGGCTTTCCGGCATAATTAGAACCTTTTGGCTATAGAAATGAAATAATGAAATATAGGATTTCAGATTCAAAAAGATTTTCAGATTCTGTATAAAAAAACACCTATTGTCTATATAACCCGGTGATATTCTTTTTGTTTCTATAAGATTATTAAGTTTCTACATCTGCGTTACTTAGCTCTCTTTAAGCACGGGTTGCTTGAAAGAGGTCGCTTATTAGGTAAAATGCCACTTGTTTTATTGTGCTTAAGTTTATAGGGAATAATTTTTATATAAAATCACGTGCAGCTGTCTCATTTTCACATCAAAAAACCTAGTCGGAAAACCCCATATTAACTTTCTAACACAAATTTATCAGCGTCATATCGCAGCGAGTATTAAAACTACCTGTTGTGAAAGTTGAAAAATCAAAATGATAAGTAAATTACATGTTTTTAATAACCTGATGTCATATTCGAATTTCCATATCTTTATGTAAATATGCTTTACTAGTTAGTCAAGTAGTAGTAATTAAGATATATAAGTAGATATAGTATCTATAAAAAGGACTCCATAGTGAATAAGAATTTCAAAATGAACCATGGACCATGGTTTGGTTTGATTTCCGGTTAATATTCAGGTCGAAAGCTTAATCAACGTTATAAATGTCTTCCATCCACTTAATTTTTGTTTTTAAACCATTTCATTTGTTTATAACTAAACATTGCCGTGGGCATGAATTAGTTAAGAATTTATATTCAATTGTATATATTGAATTTTTAATAAATTATAGATAAGTTTATTTTATAAAAGTGGAAATTTTCATTTTATAAAACCTATTATTTGAATAATAACAATAGATGATTAGTGAAACTCAAAGTTCAAGTAGATCACTATCATTGAATTTAATATAGATATAATTAACAAAACAAATTTCGAGTATTATGCTTTCACGCAGATCTGAACACAAGTAAAATCGAATAAGGTAATAGGAACAAGTTTAAAAAAAACAAAAATATATTTATAACTGTACAACTACAATGCGATAGCTGTGTAACTTAATTAGACACAATTCTCATAAATAAATAACATAAAAATGTTATTATAACTTAATATAAAAAAGTTATTGGACTATGAGCGTATTTGGAACAAAATGGAAGTCCAAACAAACATAGTTTGAATAGTATTTACGAATGAATATTTGCGTTGAGCTGCCAAAAATTGACAGTATGGTTTCACAAAAAACGACGCAAATATGTTTGATGTGATCGCAAATGGAACGCAAATGCATGGTATATTTCTATCGCTCGTAAGTAACTAGTCAAATTAGCCTACGAGAGGTTCGAAGAGAACTAACCAAAAACAAAACAGATCAAGTTTTTTTTATTTAGAACAGGGGGCAAACGGGCAGTACGCTCATCTGATATTAAGTGATATGGATACTTTTAAAGCCAGAAGGCTCGCGAGTGTGTTGCTGGTTTTTTAATAACTAGTACGCTCTTTTCTTGAAGGACCCTAAGTCGAATTGGTTAGGAAATACTTCAGGGGGTAGCTGGTTTTACATAGTGGCGGTGCGCGGAAATAAGTGTTTATAATAACATCATAGACTACAGAACTGATGAAAATACTGCGCGTAAATGCATTTAAATCCAATAATAATATCCTTACAAATACGAATTGTTCTAATCTATTTGATTTTCATTGTTTAATCTATTGTAAAGCTGATGACCCGAATACAACTCTATTATAATTTAATGAATGATAATAATTAAAGAAATACCTACAACTATGGACACATACTTATATTTTATAATGAAGTATCTAATCAGAATGTTGACTTCAATTTAGTTTATTTAAAGCTATGACTTATCAACCTTCTAATTAAAAATCAATTTATTTATTTACTGGGTAAAAATTTAATGTATATATATGTTATTTTATATAGATATTTCGCTTGTTGTCCAAAAGATAGACCACTGATTATCATTTGCTACGGTCTATTCATAAAACATACCTGTTTCGCTTTCCCCATTATCATAATATTCATCATATTCCCAGTTATGGGTGTTTTTTAACGTTTTCACAAAAGCACAATATTTAATATACATCTATTGTGTATCACACAGCGTCGGTAAGTCAGATTTGTATAATGTACTTACACATAACAAAATATGTATCAAAGTCAGTAAGATTAGTTAATTAAACTGTACATTTTAAGTCCGTAACTTTATAAATGTTAAATTACTTAAAGTATTGTAGCCGCGATATCACTTTTAGAATGTTCTGTTAAAAATTATAAAAAGCTTAATTAAAAACTCTAATATTTATTTTTAAATTAATTTATGAACAATATTTGCAAAAATCGATTCATAAAAGCTTTTATAATAACGCTTAGTACCTACTTTTGAAACTTTAATTAATAACATTGTATTAATTATCCTTTTAGCTCGTTAACGATTATTATTTAGATACGGTATAGAAAATAATCCTTCTACTGTATAATACCGTATTTAATCGCATAGATAATAATTTTGGAAATTGTATTTGGTTAACAGAAAAAAAATAATGCACTGCAAAGATTGCACAAAGATTCGTTAATTTTTCAGTTAAAAAACATTTTTACGTTTGTATAGATGTGTTACGTTGGTCAAAAGATCAATCAACAATTATAGTGCATAATTTGCATTAAATTTTAAATAATTTCATAAAGTAGTTTATGATTACGGCTCATGTACCTAATAAAACTGTCATCACATAAGGGCGTCATAATAGGTAGAGTCTTCTAATGAGATCGGAGATCGGATATAGAATGGTTCATATTGGTATTTTATATTTGCCTTTTGACCACCAGTAGTTTATCGAAACATTTTCATGGCTTTTGTTTTCGTATCAAAAATTTAAAAGCATACACTCTGAACTTTTTGTTTAAGACGAACGTAATTAATTGTTGTTAAAAATAAACATAGGCGCAGTGGAACATGCGAAATATTAGGACAGTTTCTTAATTTGGAATAAAAATTAATAATTGTAATAATTACAATCAAATAACTTTATAAGTAGGAACCTACGTATATTATGGATGAACTCAGGAAATTTTGTCCTTAATAAACTGTCTAGTTTTTGATACAAAAACTATATTTCGCCGCTCACTCACTGTCGCCTCGATAATATTGTACGGCAAAGCACCTCAGTAAAGTTTTGCATTTTCCCTGACGATACCTACAATGTTATTTACATAATATTATTCCTCCTGCTTTTTCTTAAACTATGTCTCGACCAATGACAGAACGAAACAAATCATCATAGTTAAAATCTAGATATATAAATGCGTATACTGTATGATTCAATTGAAAACAGTGCATCAAAATGGTAATGTTTATTATTAGATCAAAAGTGTCGGTATTTCAAATCGATTCTTACATAAGATAGGTAAATTGCAACATAAACCTATCTAGATAAAAACTTATTAGTCTAGTAAACAAGTAGGTGATTAATTAACTTTACGCAAATAAAGTATTCTTATCTTCATTTTTGCTGTACGACAAGGAGAGATAGATTGTCAACGATGAATCTCAAGACTATTTTATGTATTGTTTATTTGCCACGTAACTGAAAAAAATAAAGAAAATAAATGAATTTATTTCATTGGAATATCTAATATAAATAATTTAATGAATATTTTATTGTTACAGGTGAAAGTTCGGGGTCATGTTCTGAAGAAGAAATTAACAATGTTTTACCTGAAGATCTCCGCGATCGCCCTGAAACGCACATGTGCCCCAGATGTCAGGAGCAATTCGAAAACTTTAACGATTTCTTGTATCACAAACGACTTTGCGATGAAAAAGCAATTCAAATGGGTGAAGAGAGAATGCACTCAGATCCCGAAGACATGGTTGTGTCTGGGGACGAAGAAATGGATAGCCCCAACAAACGATTAGAACAAGTAAGAAGGCATCGTCAGGATGCTGAAAATAATAATAGCCTAGAAGATGGGGAAGCCGAAGTACCTGAAGCTGATGTTCCTCCTGTTGGATTACCATTTTCGGTAGCAGGGCATGTGACACTAGAAGCACTTCAAAATACGAAGGTTGCTGTGGCACAATTTGCTGCAACGGCAATGGCTAATAACGCCAACAATGAAGCTGCTTTACATGAGCTGGCAGTATTACAGAGTACGTTGTTCACATTGCAGCATCAGCAAGTGTTTCAACTTCAATTAATAAGACAGTTGCAAAATCAATTATCATTAACGAGGAGAAAAGATGATCAACCACCAAGTCCACCACCGGTTGAACAAGAAGCGACCGCTCCATCGACTCCGGTTCGATCACCATCACCGCCTCGTCCGCCACGGGAGCCATCTCCTGCTGTACCGACTCCTCCCTGTAGCCAAAGCTTGCCATCGACCCACTCGCATATCACACCTAAAATTGAACCGATTTCCATCCCTAAACCGCCAACCGCATCTCCACCTATGATGTCACACCCACCCTACAGCTCCATCTCGTCATCATTAGCTTCTTGTATTATCACGAATAATGATCCTCCACCGTCCCTTAATGAACCAAATACGCTTGAAATGCTACAGAAGCGAGCGCAAGAAGTACTTGACAATGCATCACAAGGCTTATTAGCAAATAATTTAGCTGACGAACTGGCCTTTAGAAAATCTGGCAAAATGTCACCCTATGATGGAAAAAGTGGAGGTAGAAATGAACCGTTTTTCAAACACAGATGCAGATATTGTGGAAAAGTATTTGGAAGTGACTCTGCACTTCAAATACACATTCGGTCACATACAGGCGAGCGACCTTTTAAATGTAATGTTTGTGGATCAAGATTCACAACAAAAGGAAACCTTAAAGTTCACTTTCAAAGACATACATCTAAGTTTCCACACGTAAAAATGAACCCGAACCCAGTGCCAGAACACTTAGACAAATACCACCCCCCACTTCTTGCACAACTATCTCCGGGGCCAATTCCAGGGATGCCCCCACATCCTCTTCAGTTTCCTCCTGGTGCACCAGCTCCATTCCCGCCAAGCTTGCCATTGTACAGACCAACGCATCATGATTTACTTCCTCCACGCCCACTCGGTGACAAGACACTTCCACCACACCCATTGTTTACAATGAGAGAAGAGCAAGATGCACCTGCAGATTTAAGCAAACCTTCTGCACCCAGCCCATCAAGATTAACATCTGACATGTTTAAGTCTGAACCACAAGACGATGAGAGCCATCGCGATTCTAGTTTTGAAGAAACTGACCGAATATCACCTAAGCGAGAGCCAGAGGAGAATGAACCCGTACATGACGCAGAACAAGATCGATATCCATCCACTTCACCCTACGATGACTGCAGTATGGACTCGAAGTATAGTAATGAAGACCAAATTGGAAGAGAGAGTCCTCACGTGAAGCCGGATCCTGATCAACCGGAAAATCTTTCAAGTAAGAATCGGTCGATAACTGGACCAATTTCAATAGCAACGGGACTTCGTACTTTTCCCAGTTTTCCATTATTTCCCAATTCCCCTCCCAGCAGTATCTCCTCGGATTGTCATAATCCATTCTACAACTTTACTCAGACGGTTGTTGAACCAGACCTTACTAGAGACCCTATGATATATAATTCACTTCTCCCTAGACCGGGCAGCAATGATAACTCATGGGAAAGTTTGATAGAAATAACGAAAACTTCAGAAACATCCAAATTACAGCAATTAGTTGACAATATTGACAATAAAGTGTCTGATCCAAATGAATGTATTGTGTGTCATCGTGTCCTTTCTTGTAAAAGTGCCTTGCAAATGCACTACCGAACTCACACCGGTGAAAGACCATTTCGTTGTAAATTATGTGGTCGAGCATTTACTACCAAAGGAAATCTTAAAACCCATATGGGTGTTCACCGTATTAAACCTCCTTCTCAAATTTTACACCAATGTCCTGTTTGCCATAGAAGGTTTCCCGATCCGAATATTCTTCATCAACACATTCGAACACACACAGGCGACCGTTACAGTACCCCTTTCGATCAATTAATGATTCGCGACGTAACTGACAGTCAATCAGTAAGCAATAATGAATCTGAATATGGCCCTTTCTTTTCTATTCCAACCCCAACCTTTCCAACACCGTCCACTCCCGGCGACCGTTGGGCGGACTCCCGCGGAACCGACGATGAGAGCGGCCGTGACGAGCGCGAGCTTCCTACTCGGGAGTTCGACGATGAATCTGATAATGTAAAGGATCGTCGAACTTCGCCGCTCTCCGTCTGCGCCACGGCGTCCGAATGCGAAATGAAAACCATCACCACAACGGCTTCCCTCCCATCGGCGACAGGTTCGGAGAGCGGGCGGAGTGCGCGAGCTTCACCGCCATCACCGTCCCCGCCGCCGTCGGCGCTGTCTACGCCGCCAGGGCTGCCGCACCATTCACCGCTGCCCTCGCCGCCTACGCCCCTGGCTGCACTGGGCGCCCTCGGCGGATCGCCTTTCAGCCCGCTCGGACTTGCGTTCCCTCCCGCAGGTATGCGAATGCGGGATCTTAAATAATCGATCATAAGTCCGCCCCGGTCGTCCATTTTCCATTTCCTCACGAATCCTTATACTATATTATACTTATTACCTACCACCTAACTTACCGGGTGCTCCAGGGCGTGATGAAAATACGTTAAAACGTAATGAAAATTTATTTATATTTTTATACTATGTGATAACTTTAATCTGTCAAATAAAACCTACTTATTTGTACGCAGTGCGTGGAAACACAACGTGTACCATCTGCTACAAAACCTTTGCGTGCAACTCAGCACTGGAGATACACTACCGAAGTCACACTAAGGAGCGACCTTTTAAATGCACCGTCTGTGACAGAGGCTTCTCTACTAAGGTGAGTTGAAATAATTGTACAGTAGTGATTTAGGATATTTACTTAATAAATAAACTATTTCGGAACGCACCGGCATGTTTTCCCGCAATCCAGTTACATTATTGCGTTAGATGAATAAATCGTATTATTAAAACCAAATTCCTTATTTCTAATCGTATAAACTGCGATCGAGTATCTTTGGCTCGCTGCCAGTTCATACTTTATTGTTACACAAATAGCGACACATATCTACGCGTTTACGAGGTTTCCTACAATTTTCACAACATACAAATACCTTATTGCTTTCGAAAACAAGCGTTAATGTCGGCGACTTAATTGAAATATTAGAATTGATAACGGGGTTAATGTTGAGATAGGTACCGTACATAAGATAGTCGGTTTACCAAAAAGCAACGCAGTGTTGGTGTTCGAAACTGCATACTCCGGTTTCATTTCATCCAAGTTTCAGCGCATTAATTTTGCACGCTGTAATTACAAGTCTCTAGTCGACGCCTCTGCAGTCTGCTCGCATAAGTTTCGGTCGTTACTCGTTGTCTTCCTCTAGCGCCCAGACTTGCTGAGTAATTGACGATCAACTTTACTATGTCGTAGGCCTGTTTAATCTGATTTATCACACCATATTAAGCAAATAACATAAATCACCTGTTAAAAATATTAGGCATTAACGCTAAAAAGCAATACCTAATATATTTCAAAACAAAGTCATCTAAAGGTTGATTCAAGAACGATGCATCAATTTTATTATCTTTTTACGCACGTTAATAATAATTAAATATCTGACTTCGTTCTTCATGTATAATTGCTGTGGATACCATAAAAGAGCATCATTACGATCTATTTATGTTAGGCAAGAAATGAACATTGACTTTCGCGGATTTAGCAGCGTGCCTTGTTCACTTGACGCGCTCAGATATGCAACACTTGCTTTACATTAAAGCGCTATTCTCTATACATCACCTTTCTATTGTTATTATCCCGGTTCCAAGTATCGTGGTTTCTACTCTAAAGGATACAGTTAAAAATTATTAAGTCAGCTCACGTTACACAAACATATTACAACTATTATTAAACGTTTGTATGTAGATAATTTTAGTAGCTTACTTGCGACATTTCACATCCTTATATAACAATTATTTTCAACATGTGAATCTACAAATAAATCATAAATTCCTTATTGATAACAATTAATGGTTCCAATCATATGTAATAATTGTTATCGTAAATATTGATATAATTAATACAACATTTAAGGCAACGCAGGGAATATTTTTACATTTATGGCGAATCAAGTTTTATAATCAGTTCGGCCAAAATTTTAAGCAAAGGTGGGCTTGCGGAGATTCGTCGCCACAGAAAATGATAAGTCATAAAAACAACGTCACGAAAAACGATCGGAATATTAATTCATGTCGTAAAATATTTATTACTTATAAATCCTTGAGCCTTTACCTACGCTTCTCGTCATAAAAAGATTATTTATGCGTGACAAAATAACATTTTTCGATATGTTTCCCCGAGTGGCCATGCGGGAGTTATCAATAAAATATGCCTAGATTTTTACGACGGCGCCGCAATTTCATTTATAATGCCTTTATTCCCTATTATTTGGATTTGACTGCCTTTATAAATCAATTAACTTACAGAAAATATTTAGTGCGAAATTAATATTTATCTATTTTCCATACAAAATTAGGATTAACTTCTAAATTGTCGTCATAAATATTTTCTAACCTGTTCTGAGTACGTACTGAAATCAAGTATGAAAAATTTTATCCAGATACGAATGATTTAGGGTCAACTTACTATGATTTTGTTCGCAATCAAATTCACGCTTTTAATTTTAAAATTGTCGTTTCCATACAATTGTATTTACGGGCATCCATCTATTCCATACGGCCTTCGTTACTTTTAACCGTAAATATAATTATTAAATCCAGAGGTCCTGGATTCGATATACAATATCAATATCTTTTTCACCATTGGGGCTTTACGGAACTTAATGTAGATATTGAATTGCTTTTCACGGATGGTGGTTACGTTGTCTTCATACTAATGTTAAACGCTCAATTACAAGGGTTTTATCATAATTATGCAATATATAATGTATTTAAACGGCGTTAATGGACTGTTAATAAGAATGGTTTAAGTGTGAAATGTTTTAATAACTAGGTATTACTAATAAGGCAATTCAATAGTGAAGTCGAAATCAAGTATTATTACCATTTGACAAGACGGCAAAGTACGTTACGAAAATGAATATTAAAATACTAAAAACTTTACCCTATTTACTGTACTGTTATTTAATAAATATATATTATATAATAACATTTAGGCTAAAAATAATGTTGAGAATTCAGACTCAATATATAATTTTTAGGCAGAAAAATTGACTAGTTACACCGTAAGTTTTACCGGAGTTTGACAAAGTCATTGACAAGTCTACAATTAGTTTGAAAAAGTACGTAACATATTTCCGCGTCAGATGTTTGTACAAAAATCATACAACGCCGCTGGTCCGAATTTGCAAAACTGCAGAAGTTACCGTTTAATACATTTTCATGGCCATAGATGTCGTTAATATGGCAACATAGATTCTAATCATAATATCAAATATGTTATCTGTAAACGGGATGTGGCAGCCTTTGACCACGATTGCTGAAAATCCATCGAAACGTTGAGCTACGTAAATAGTGAATGAGATCGTATGCGTTCATATTATCAATTCCAAAACATTTTCTAAACATATTTTAGTTTGAAATGAAGAGATACGTTAAATATTTTGTTACTTAAACAGACATTTTACATTATTTGATAACGATAATAGCGGTTGGTAAATGTTTTTAATATGGTTAACATTAAAATAATTACAATTAATAAACTTGTTTAAAGCAACGGTATGTAGGTAACCATAATGAAAATTGTCCTTTTTATGTTTGTATTCAATTAATAATGCACGCTCCCATTAAAAATCAACCATCTTAAAGCTGAGTTGAGCCCATTTTTGGTTGAATTTGAAGGTTTCTGTATTTTTTCTACAAAATGTTTCGTTTAACCCTGTCGACTTGAATATCATTATTAAAAAAACCTAAATATAAAAGTTGACATTTTGATTCCAGCTTCTATCAGGTTCAATTGTTTTGTTAATTACGTGCGAAAGAACCAAAAGTCGTAAGCAAAAGTTATTCATAGTATAGTGTCAATAAAATGTCCTATTAGATTCATAACCTAACCTCACTCTGTTATGGATAGCAAGAATTTGCAAAACGCCAACATTTTACACCTTAAACGTGTCTAGTGTTCAATAGCCGTAAAATATTGGAAATATTTGTACCGGAGCAATGTGAATGTCAGATCAGTTGTTCAAGTATCGGGTACAAGCGAGACCTTATCGTCTAGTTGCCTGCTTACAAGCACATTTAAAATTACAATAAGTGTCGCCAACACCACTGTCTACAGATGAAAGTTCGCGCGGACTATGTATCGATTATTCTGATCAGTTTATTGACTCCGAATAGTCTTAGATTTAAAACATTTCTATTTCTAATAAGAAAAAGTTTTGACTTAATGCGTAAAGCGCCATCTGTTGTTGGATAGCAGCGTTTTAAAGCAGTAGAAAACAACTGTTAATAAGCATCAATTTTTTTTTACTTCAATGATTATATTTTATACACGTACTTATCTATTCCAAAACTGCGAAATCACTGCTTTTTAAATTATTTAAAAAGAATCAAAAATATATTCGTCAGGAAATCAAGAAAATATGTCGCATCACAATTTGACATTGATTAACTTCACATACATATTTAATCATTTTAAAGCAAATTAATTCTGAAATATAAATAAAGTTATCAACGATGCATACGAATTGCCTAATTAATAAAATAAATAACTACTAAATTACCAAAGTACGCGACCTCTATTATAAATTCAAAATTGAAGTCTGTATTTCCATTAAAAATAAAATAGTTATACAATTCAGCGTACATACTATGCGCGTTTAGGTATATTAAAGATTATATTAAAACGGTACATTCATCCCTAAAATTTTACGTTTCTATGTTCTGTGGGTCTTCATTATGAGACAATGAGTTCTATATACGAATAATAAATTTACGACGAACGGTAACACTTACCTGTACTCTTTTATTATAAAAACCTAATCAGTTGTTGTAATACACAATATCTATCTAAGCAATCGTCGTTTTCCCACAAATTGTAACGCTATCATGAAGAGATGAAGGGATAAGTTTTAGTGTAATAAAACTGATTTGGTTTTTATGAATAAGTATACCTAGAGTTGAAACTTCCCGTAAAAGATTACTAAAGAATTTGCCGGCGCGTTCCTATATGAATCAGTCGCAATCGAATTTTATACTACTCTCCGATTTATTTTTTTAATGTTTATCGGATGCCTATCCGAGAAGATATTTGTGTGTTCTTTTTTTGAAAGTAAAATTATTTCCAATGTTTACAATTTTGAATGTAGTTTTTAAATACTTTAGTAAAATATACCCAGATATGTTTTTGCTTTTGAATCTGTCTCTCTTTAACTTTGTAAGTAAATATGTTTCCTGTGTAACTGACCCATTGATAAATTTGTTTTACCCTTTAATCCTGTGTGTGCGTGTGTGTAAATTTGCGTGTATTTGTGGTTCCAGAGCAGTGGCGGTTGCCAATGCGGCAGGCGCGCACGTGCCCCTCGCCCGCCACACGCCACTGCTTTGGACCTCTGGAACGCCTTCGTCTATCCGGTATGAAAGAGTGACGCCTGAGCGTGTACTCGGCAGGGTATCTATGAACACGACGCTAATCCTATATACTTTTGATTTAATTATCTGAGTTTTTGTCTGCGTAAAATTAGAATAAAAGTAGCCTATTAAAAGAAATTGTTATATTAAATCGATTACTAGTTTAGACATGAATATACTTACATTTTATTTCTGTTTAGCGTTAGCTCAATGCTTCCATAAATCTATTTAAGCAATAATATTGCAAAGCAATTTTTTTTACAAAATCTGATAAAAATCGAAGGTGAATCATATTAGCGTAGTCTTCATAGATATTCTGTTATTGCTTCCCTCAAATTCAATAACACAAGACATTGTAAACTAATACATTTCATTTACAGGGTAACATGAAGCAACATATGCTTACGCATAAAATACGTGATATGCCACCAAGCTTCGATAAGAACGGAAGTAACCCAGCGAGCAGTGAAGATGGACGGGAACCAAGTCCCGAGAGGCGATCTTCGCCCGATAAAATGGATCTGAAGCGGTCACCCCCAGTACACCCGCCACCACCCATACATCACCCGCCCTCTATTGATATGCCACCTTTACCAAAGAGACCTACAGGTAATAATATCGACATTCTGACAATAATTCAAAAAAGTTTAACAGGTATAATATTATTATTATAATTACATCGCTTTACATAATATATCTCACTTTTTGTATAATAATTTTTATTCCCATATAATACAGATTATGTAAATTAACCCATTGTTTTATTCCTACGTGGGTAATAAGTAGTTTTAAGTATAGCATAAATCAGTGCTTTAAAGTGTTATCGTTTCGTTCCAGTGCCAAGTGCGCCTGTACACCCGCCACTCTCAGCATCATCGAAGCATTTATGCGGAGTGTGTCGCAAGAATTTCTCGTCTTCGTCAGCTCTTCAGATTCACATGCGGACTCATACTGGCGACAAACCATTCCGCTGCGCAGTCTGCCAGAAAGCTTTTACTACAAAGGGAAATCTAAAGGTAACGTTTCAATTCCAATATGCGTGTTTGATCATTTGATAGTTCTTTTGATATTTTAATACAATTCTAAAATAAGTCACAATTCATATGACATATCGCCTTATTAACGTGATCCTAGCTAGCTACTAGAACAGGTTTAAAGGTACAATATCGCCGAATGAATATACGATTTAATTCGGATACATTTTCCAACTGTTTGATTTTTTTTTATTTATAAGGCACGCGAACAATATACATATGTACAGACTACAGACACAAAAGAAATAAAACACTTTTACACAAATTATTTTATGATTACAAGATTTATATAATTTTATCTAAAAGTCTAGTACTTAATAAAATTTGTATTTCGTTCAGGTACACATGGGGACTCATATGTGGAGCGGAGGAGCATCACGACGCGGGCGCCGTATGTCCCTGGAGCTGCCACCACGGCCTTTGCACGAGCCTCATGATCTGCTGCGACGACCTGACCTATTCTACCCCTATCTCCCTGCACCCTTCCTTAACGGCATGCAGCAAAAGGTAAGAAATATTACAATTTACTCGACACTGTTTGTTTAAAATATTTTTCAACCCGTAAACCGTATATGCGAATCGATTCACAACGTCCGATAGACAGATGTTTTAAAAAATTGTGATAATTTTTTATTATATTAATCCTTTTTTTTTATATTATATCATTGAAAACATTTTGACAATATGAATGCTACATATTTAATGATTCTCATAAATTAATATTTTCCTCAGCTGAATGAAATATCGGTGATACAACAAAGCGCTGGGCAGAACGGAGTAGCCGGTAAGTTCCCGGGTCTACTTGGCTTCGGTGCATTTGGGGCTGGTCGACCTGGTGCAGCGTCACCTTTGGAAAGGCCGCCATCTTTGGAGAACGATGAACGTCAAGCTGCCATGCGGGAGTTAGCTGAACGCGGGCGGGAACTCGCGGAGAGACGGCAGATGCGCGAAGAGAGTGATCATTACAGATCTCCTGTGCACGCTCCGCCTACACCCGCGCAGCCTCCTTCACCCGCATCACATCACCCGCATCAACATCCTTTAGGCTCTCTACCACCACCCGCTAGAACCGAAGGTCTCACTGTCTGAACCTCTAGATATCGATAAGGGGACTTTTCTCACTTCAGAGAGCATCACTGTTTCTTAAACATCACAGACTAGGTACATTTGTAAATAAACAGTCTGGAAGGTGCATAGAAGCGACAGAGAGAAACAAAACGCAATACGACTTTATGGACAGTGGTGCGATCTGAGTCTAGCGTGACCCTATTGATCGTCGTCGACCACATTCCAAAGACCGATAGCGGGCAAGTCACCAACGATCTAGTATTCTCAAATATGTACAAAGAAAAAAGGTACTCAAAGTGAAGGACTGATCTTAAATATATTGTGTTAGCGTAAGACACGTATGTGTATCGATGTATTTATAGAGTCGTTATTCCAAGTGTTATTACGCCTATAGTATTACTATAAGTATGCACGAGTACGGGCCGGGGGCAATGCGGGACTCAAGAGTCCCACTATATGTCATTACTCTGTGATAATGCACATAAAGAGGCTGTGTCTTTCGGACGGAAGTATGAAATCAGATATATTAGATGCAGTCGAATGTGCTTCAACATCAAAAATAATTATAAATTATCCCAAAAATTAATTATTCATAAATCTATATCGTAAATTGTAAATAAAATGTATAATATTTAGTTTTGTAAGTAAAATAGTTAAATTACATAAAATTATGCTATATCTATATAATTATGTAAGTAGAGTGCGCTATGCATGATTTTCTTTAAAACCACATTCCAATGTGAAGAGGTTCAACTTTGTGTCACCAGAGATACATCAGATTTCAAGGCGACAAAGAATCTCCTTTGGCAACGAAAATTTTATACTTATAATGAATTAAATGTGAATACAACAATACAATAATAAAATACACTTTATAACTAGGGTACTGTAGTTGGCACTATCCCACATTTTAATTTTGAAAAATATTTTTAAAAAGCTTACTTTGTAATAGGCCGATCAATTGCTTGCTGGGTTTTAAAAATGTATTTATTATATGATTTTAAAATTATCGTGTTGTCGTATTCATGTGGTACAGGGGAATGTACTTACCTTACATTATTAACTTATTCTCGCTCTAAGTACTCAATATATTTACTATAATATTTAACTGTGGTAACAGAGGATAATGACATATTCATATCATGTAAATTAAAAAAGTATTTGCATTTGAGGTCTACATAGATTTAAGTCATAGCTATATTTCTTTAGGATATTACAACATATCTCTGTAAAAATATGTATTAGGTATTCAGACTGTTTAAGTTCTTTTCCAAAAATGCATTTCGATGTACCTTAACCTCTTTTTTCGAACTTAGATGTGTATAAATGTTCTGCTAAATTATTTATATTGTCAAATCATGCATACACTCTTAGCCCCAAGTTCACCGATGTATTGACGAAACGTTTTAATTAAAACTGAATTAAGCCAATGAGAAAAGCGGGCCGTTAAAATGTCGATGAATTTGCGCCGTAGTATTAACGCTTGGGGGACGCTAGGTCTCAAGTTTAGTTGTCTAGAATAAATTCTCATAGCACCTACAATATAATTTTCATGTTGCGAATAGATATAGAGTAGTGTAGTCATGAATATGATGTGTCATGTCCATGTCAGTATAAACGATCAAGTGTAAATTATTAAATGTTTATGTAAATGTCCAGAAAGTATTCAAATTATTTAAAAAACAATTATTACACTTATTTTTCTTTTTTTGTTCTCCTTTACCTGAATCCCGTTTTTGTTTCTTATATAAAATTTATCTAAAATAATAAATAATACAGAATATTAAAACAAAATACACTTTATGCCTAAAACCCAGTATGATAAAACTTGATTCGGCCCCATTACGGAATTTTACCCACAACCTCTAATCAAACCCAAGAAGACCCCTAGTATATATAAAATTCTTAACGGTACATAGCTTTATGTATTAAAAATAGCATACATAACTATGTTATATGTGTATTTTACAATACATTTAAATTCAATCTTGACGATCCAATACAAATCACATCCTTTATTTACTACAAAAAAGTAATGTATTTGTTGTATTAACAAGGTAACCTGTTAACCGTTAAATTAAATTTTCACTGTATAATATCTGTGAAGACTACAGAGTTATATCGGTTCATACAATAGACAAACCATTCTACAAAATAAAAAAGTTTTGTTAAAGACTTTATTTCATTTATAAGTATGATAAACACTATGACAATTATACATCCATATTAAACTAGAAGTTAATCACACTAGCGAGTTTCTTGACTCTATTAAGCAGTAAGTCGCCCTCGCGAATGGTGGCTTGGTAGAGATGCGAACGATCGGCATCTGCGCCGCGACCAGCGCCTGTCACCACACAACCCGCCACTGCATCTATACGACATTGGAGACGGCCGGCCGCTGTAAAACTGTGAACGGGATTATTGTATGTGAAGACCCATTGCCAATTGGACATCTGCGTGATTCGATTTTTAAATAATAATTTAAATTATCGAGAAACATCAGACTGTTTTGATCTGATTTAATTTTGATGATTTGATCATTGAATAGGGATGTCTATTTTTATGATTAAGACATACCGGTTTCCTCACGATATTTAACTTTTGTTTCAACGGAAATCCAGACATGTTAAGTAAATAACATAGCGTTAATATACTATGTATGTCCTGGGTTGAGTCGATTGTTACGTCGCTAGTGAGTGAACGCATTTCCTTTAATTAATATGTTGCAAATTTGGAGAATATTGGCTTAAAGCTAAGGCCATTATGCTATGAATATTATTAAAATATTATGATGCTATAGATACTAGAATTCAAATATTTCTATCAAGTATTACAATCTCGTCTCTGGACGCGATCTTAGTCATTTTATATTATTTATAATGATATATATGTTGTATAATATATATGTTGTATAATATATATATTATATAATTAATAAAATTATAAAAACGCGACCCGTGAGGTCATGAGTTCGAATCACAACTGTCACCGATGGAATTTTTATATGTTCGTATTTAACACTCGCTCGTACGGTAAAGGAAAACATCCTGAGGAAACCGGCATGTCTTAGACCCAAAAATTTACAGCGAATGTCAGGCATAGAAGGCTGATCACCTACTTGCCTATTCAAAATATTAATGATCATGAGTCAGAAAAAATTTTTTCGTCGTCTGAGGTCAACAAGACTTAAGAGGCAGTAGCGCCACTGTTTTTTAATAAACATTAAAAATTAGAACAAAGATTTACTGTAATTAACTGTTTCACAAGTATCTAAAATAACTTACGTAGAAATCTCATCTTCAATGAATTCCCTGGTTACTCCAAAGGTGTCGGCAATGTTGTCGAGACTGAGCGAGCGATACGCGCGTAACAGTTGAACGTACGCCTTAATGCGCGCTTCGCGTACGTAGTGCTGGTAGTGTGGACGGAACACGGGGTCCACGCAAATCTGAGTTTCCACCTGAAAATACCATTTATGGGTTTTAATCTAGTAAAATACGTATCAAATTAGCCTGAAACAAAGGGATTATTATATTTTAAAATATTATAATATGATACAAGAGAAGGCCCTGTGTCTTAACTATTTGTAATGTTGTGTGCTTAACTAAATAAAGTGCCTCCAGCACTGGTAGCGATGAAGGCACATGTGCTTTGCTTGTGGGTTTTATTTCAGTAATAATTTTAGCCCAGAATTTTTTTAAAGAAAAATAATATGAAATGTCCACATAATACAACCAATACTTTTAAATTTTTCTTATATTCAATTTGCCAAGAGATTGCTTGATTGCTAGCAATAAATCCTCTCATTGCACAATGTATTTTTCATTAATGAAATTGTACTGTACTTCTCATTTCACGATTAATTCTGTTTTCAATAAAGTGGTAATTCATATTTGTATATATACATAGATCAGTCTGCTCTGTACTAGAGAATAAGCAACACAATTAACACTTACCCAAGCGAGACTCTTCATAAAATCAGCGTACCGACACTCATGAAGGGATTCAACCAATTCCCTTAGTTCCGGGAATCGCGAGCGTAAAGCTTGTACTGCCGCGCCTTGACGACGCAAAGCCGCTTGCAACGCGTGACGCTCGAGAGCCAATGCACAAGCCAACACGCAGTATTGTATTATAGTCCCTGGTGGATAATATCAGTTATTGAAACTTATTTGCTACAAGTAATTTCATTAAAAATTATATCATGTCACTATTTCCATATTATTAACATGATAACTGTCGAACTATAATGATATGAGTGTGTCATCATAACAAAAAAAAGTCTTTTGGCACTGCAGCAACTTCATCCATCAGCAATCCCACAACAATTCTTTGGGACTTTTGACCAGGTATGAATCAAATTATTAAAAGTTACTATATTTTATATTCGAAGTAAAATAAGTGTTATATAACAGTAAGTATAAATTATAGATTATATATTAAAAGTACATTTGAATAAGTTATTATATAAAGATTTTAAATACAATACTTCATCCAGCTTTGTTGTTGAAATTATTAAAGTACTTTTAGGAATCTAGAATTGCCAAATTTGAACAAAAGATACTAGTTTTAAAGAAAGATAGAGTTTAGTCTCTTATTGTTGTACAAATTTATCCTTTGATTATTTGTAAATTTATCCCCAAGAAGCTTTAAATAGCCATATGTATGGAAAACCTCTTTTAGAAGCACAACTCTATAAAAGATACATACCAAAATCAACCAATTCATATGACTCAAATGTTGAAACACAGTCAATAAAAAGATCAGCTGAACGACTGTAATCCCTCACTGCCAAACAGTAGATAGCTTCATATGCCTTAAGTTTGTTACGGGACCTCCAATCACCGCCTTTGTCTACTAACTCATGGGCCTGAAAATTGTAAAATTGTGGTTTATTGTTAATTTACATAGTGTTTAAGTAATATTTATATATAGGTTAGTGAATGTTGAAATGTGACTCTCCTAAATTAAATTGAGATTTTTTAAATATCTTAATATATTCCTTAACTTAAGATTTAATCATTACAATTTAAACTTTAATGCACTTAATACTTAAATTTAAGTTCACAGTGCTTCAAAAGTAAATTTAATTTAAATTTTAAGGACCAAATAAAGAGCTTGGGGAAGCCTTCTTATCTGAAATTGTTTGAGTTTTACTGGAAACTAAACCCTAGCCTTCTTTATTAAAATCACTGTTTCACCAAATGGTACATACACAAATAATTAAGTGAAAATTAAATAGAAGCATCTAACTTCTACCTTATTGATGTATTTGCCCATATCTTTGACATTACATCCGTGGAAGTATGAAATTCTGAATAGAGCAAATATAGCATCAAGTCTTCTGTTGGTTGTCAATGTGGAGTCTTCATATTTAGATTGGGCTAACACGGTTGCAGCATCTTTGTCACCAATGGAACACAGATAATCTAATCTAAAATTAAATGAATACATACATTACTCACACTGGATTGTGTTTTATATTCTATTCGATGATAGTTGATGATAGTTCCGGCTCCGACTGTCTAGACGTAAATACATAGTGTAACGAAGCTCCGTATTTCTACGAATAAACTGTGAATATACTGTGAGCTCCGGTGTAAAAACATTTAAATTTCATACATATTGTGATAAACTATACTGCAACTAAAACATCCAAGTGCAAACTGTGTTATCAAGATAATTGTTCAGTGGTTAAAAAGTGGAAAAAACTTTTGAGGCTACCTGCCAAACAAACCGAGTATAGACTATAGACACAATTTCAACAAAACTAAGGCGGGTCAGTACTACCAACATAATAGTCCTATTAAGCTGCGTTCACAATAATACGTTTCATTTCACGTAAGCGACAGCGGCAAAAATGGATAACCTTCAATCTTTTTTTTGAACAAATGAAAATAGAAATGTCAAAACAAACCGATGACATTATGGCACGGATTGATGAAAAACTAGTTCCTTTTAGACTTGAAATGCAGGAATTAAAATCAGAAAATGAGAAATTAAAGGAAAAAATAAACAATCTTGAAAAAATTTAGAAGATACAACAACCTAATTTTATATGGAGTAAAAGAAACCGAAACATCGACTATCGACCTAATCGAAATAATCAAAAAGAAATTTGAACATGATTTAAACATTACTTTTGAAGATAGGGATGTGAACACGATCTATAGAATTGGCAAAAATAACACAAAAAACGGAAAAGAAAGGCCTATCCTCCTAACATTCGTGAACGCCTGGAAGAAAAACGAGATAGTGGTAAATAAAAAGAAATTGAAAAACTTGTATTTATCTGAAGACTACCCGAAAGAAATATTGGACATGAGAAGGAAACTACAACCAAAATTGGAAGAGGAAAGGAAGAAGGGCAATTATGCATACATAAACTACGACAAGCTAATTATTAAACAGGGCAAACCAGGTAACGAAAAACGCAAAAGGGAAACATCAACCTCGCCTAACGCAATAGAGCACCCTCACAAACAACAACTGTCAACAAAAGCAGCTCGGTTAAATGCATTCGACATAATGAGGAATAGAAGTAATTCCTTACCTTCTGCCAATGTGCCAACCGTTCAGAATCTATAGGATATTGCCATCAGCCACCGGAACAAAACATTAAACAGACGAGAACTAATAGATAAAAGAAACAAAACATTCCCCAATCCGACTTGTCATCGTGGGGAATCAGACTACAACCCTCCACCAAATAGAGAAATAGATCATGGTATGAAACGAACACTCAAAATCTGCAATTATAATGTAAAATCGCTAGGATCAATAGAACGATTCCTTGAATTGACTAATGCTCTAAAAAATATTAACTGGGACATTATAGGCCTTGCAGAAGTCCGAAAAATGGGATGTAAGATAGAAGAGCACAGCGACCTTATATTTTGCTATATTGGCGAAACTAAAGGACTATATGGAGTGGGATTCCTTATCAAGAAAATGTATAAAAATAACATCATCAACTTTATAGGAATCTCTGAAAGAGTAGCACTTCTACAAATGAAGTTTGATTGCTTCTCTTTTTCAATAATCCAAGCATATGCACCGACAGAGAGATCAACAGAAGAAGAAATTGAAAATTTTTACAAAGACATTGAATTTGCTCACACAAAGACAGAAGGGAAGGTCATTGTCATGGGAGATTTCAACGCGAAAATAGGATGTCCAAAAACAAACTACTATCCAGTAATGGGAAAATATGGTTACGGAGTGCGGAATGATAGAGGGGAACGGCTCTTAATTTATGCTCATCAATACAAACTATCCATAATGAACTCATTTTTCAAAAAGAAAGCAAGCTCTAGATGGACATGGTTATCACCCGACCACAAAACTAAAAATGAAATAGATTTTATTATGATAACCCACAACAAACTTATAACTAATATTGAGGTACTTAACAAAGTTGAATTCTCTTCCGATCATAGATTAGTGAGAGCAACATTACTTTTGAGTAGTCCAGTAAAGAGCAGAAAAACCTATACAACACCAGCTAATATCCCCAAGACAGAAACAGAAATAAAGTGCTACATCGGAAATATACAAAAACATACAGAAAATATAAAAACAGACAGCATTGATATTCAAACATACTACAATATCCTGGAAAAAGGCATAACAGAGAGCTTAAAATACAAAACCAATATGTATCCCCACCAACACAATATCTTCTCAAAAGACACAATGGAACTTTTAAAAAGGCGCACGGAACTACTACACACAAAGAACAAAACTAAAGATATGAAAACAGAACTAAGCAGAATATACAAAGAGACTAATAGATCAATCCGTAAGGACTACAACAACCACAGATACGAGATTATTACAAGGAACATTAAACATTTTAGAAGTGCCAAAAAAGCATACAAAGAATTAACTACACACAAGTCCTGGATTCGAAAACTTGAAAATAACTCACTAAAAACAAAATCCAGAAAAGATGTAATAAATCACGCTACTAACTTCTACAAAAACTTATATAGTAAACAAAATAACCCCGAAATCATATCGCAAACAACCCATACGAACACGACAGATCACATCAGACAAATTGAATACTCCGAAGTTTATGATCATATGAAAAAGCTGAAAGCCGAGAAGAGTCCCGGACCAGACGGAATATGCAATGAGGCACTTAAAATAGGAGCACCCATTTTAACATATCATTTTACGCGATTGTTCAATAAGATACTAGATGAAGAAAAGGTACCAAAACAGTGGTGTACATCGGATATAATCCTTCTCTTCAAGAAAGGAAATCCCTTAGATATAGGGAATTACAGGCCCATAAGTCTGCTGGCAAGTATTTATAAACTATTTTCATCCATAATCTTAAAGAGAATATCTGACGATATTGATAAGCAGCAACCAAAAGAACAGGCAGGATTCAGATCAAGCTTCAGCACAATGGACCACATACAGACATTAGAGCAAGTCATAGAAAAATACAGAGAACACAATAGACCTCTGTATGTGGCGTTCATTGACTATAGCAAAGCTTTTGATAGCATTAGTCACTGTGCAATCTGGAACGCTTTACAATATTCAAATATCAACCAGAAATACATCAATGTTTTGAAATATATCTATACAAAAAGCACGAGCAGAGTTAAATTAGAAACTAGAGGCGACGAAATAAACATAGAACGCGGAGTTAGACAAGGTGATCCTCTTTCCCCGAAGCTGTTTATAGCAGTCCTTGAAACTATCTTCCAAAAACTAGACTGGAAGAACAGCGGAGTGTACATAAACGGACAATACTTAAACAATCTGAGGTTCGCAGATGATATTGCTGTTATTGCTGAGACTGCAAAAGACTTAGACGAAATGATGAGATCACTGGACTGCGAAAGTTCCAAAATCGGCCTTGAAATGAATGTAAATAAAACGAAGATACTAACGAACAATCGGGAGCGCCAGATAGTGATAAAAGGTAATAATATAGAATACGTCAGGCAATACATATACTTGGGCAAACAAATTTCCTTCAAAACTTCAAATAACGAAGAAGAAGTGACAAGGAGAATCAACACAACTTGGAAGAAATTCTGGGCACTAAAAGAAATCTTAAAAGGCAATTACAGCTCACACATGAAAAGGACAATATTTGATACATGCCTGTTACCTTGCTTGCTGTATGGCTGCCAAACTTGGACCTTTACAAATAAAATAAAACAAAAAATTAAAAGTAACCAAACAGCAATGGAAAGGAGTATGCTGAAAATTAGGAAAATACACAAAATTAGGAGCGAAGAAATTCGTCAAAAAACCAAATTAACTGATGCTCTCAGGCACGCACTCTTACTCAAATGGAGATGGGCTGGACACATCTCACGATACCGAGACAGAAGATGGACCATTGAAACCACACGATGGAAAGGACCCATGGGGAAGAGAAATGTTGGTCGACAATTAAGACGGTGGGCTGATGATATAACACACGTCGCAGGAAACGACTGGATACAAATAGGCAGAGACAGGGAGTCATGGAAAAGGATGGAGGAGGCCTTTACCCAACAGGGATCCAAACCTTGTACATAAATAATAATACTAACGGTAATTGTAAGTAACCATTTTTTTTAAATTTAAGCAATTAAGTAGTACTAACAACATTGTAAAACATAAGCAAGTTTTGGAATAAATGGCTTTATTATTATTATTATTATTATTATATATTACTCACACTGGCATATTGCCTATCTAAACATGTATTAAGGCGAAACAGGCAGGGCATGTAATGAAACTTATGTCTTATGTCCTTATTAATATATATTAAGGATAGAGCAGAATAATAGACCACAAGCCCATGAACAAAAAATACCTGTGAAATGACCCAACCTGAATTACGCTTAGAAGGCTGTTACTATATCTGAAAATAGCTCTGAGCACTATGCCGTCATTTCTGAGCGGTACATGTGAGTACGTGAGTGAATGGACTTTCTCATGTACAATGGGGGAATTTCGACTAATTATTAATGAACGGCTTTGTTATAAGTGTATAGATGATTAAAAATAAATGTCGAAAAACCTAGTGCCGTACAAAAGTGATGGTGCCGGAAGTCGGTGCAAATTTTTAATTCGACGACAGTTGCAGGAGCAATATAGGTCATTTATTACTGTACGGCATTTGTGTCATTCCTTTTGGACACATATACAGATACTTTACCCGTAAACGCCGTACATATTTCCAGCGGAGCGGTCGAAAGCCAAGGGTCGGAACCCTACCCCTACACCCATATACCCTAAGGTCATTGTAAAATGTACGGCAACATGTTCAAAATATTATTTAACACGGACAATAATGTTTTATAATTATGCCGTCCAAATATTATAGTTAATATTTGTGTAATTAAATATTTATCGAAATTTCAGGATTTACCAAGTTCTTACTGCTGTAAGATCAGAGAATAATGTACGGCAACTTGTTTTTTTACATAATGTTACTAAATATTACCGTTGTACATTATAGCCGTTCATTATAAATGGTAACAATTAAAAATATTATGATAAAAAATATATGAAATTTCCGAAATTTAGATGACTTTTCAAATGCTCCTAGAGTAATATGGGGAGTAATATTTTCAAAGATTATTGTTATTTTATATGTAACAAATATAAATAAACAAAAAAACCAGATGCCGTACATTTTACTCCAGATTATTCTTTACAGCTGATAAAAACTTCGACGACGTTTGAGGTGTCCCTTAAGGTCATTAATAACTGTACATATCTGAGTATACTACCATAAGGCTATAAAGTATATTTACAGCCTTATCGTACGAGCAGAGAGAGGTAAAGGAAAAATATTTTTAACAAAAATATATATAATACAGGGCGTCCCAAAGTTATGAGACATGAAGGGAAAGTACCTTAAATATCGCAGATAGGGTATTTTACTAAAAGAAGACTTTATGTTATTTATAAAAGTTAGTAATTCTGCATTCAAAGATTTTTTAAAACTACTTGCCTCGTCTGGAAATCGAACCGGCTTAAATTTAAAAAAACACCCTACTTTTATGATGTCAATCGAAAGAATGGCCAAAACCTAATAAGTTTTCTAAAGTAACAGACTCGTAGGGATTTTTTAGGCCGAATACGATAGATAATGTTTTTAATTTGATTAAAAAGATATATTCACGCTGTTCCTTTCTTTTAAAATACTATGTTACTTAAGAAGAGTTATTAGTTTTTGGCCATTCTTTCGATTGGCATCATAAAAGTAGGGGTGTTTTTTTACATTTAAGTCAGTTCGATTCCCAGACGAGGCAAGTAATTTTTAAAAATCTTTGAATGCAGAATTAATAACTTTTAAAAATAACATAAAGTCTTCTTTTAGTGAAATACCCTATCTACGATATTTAAGGTACTTTCCCTTCATTTCCCATAACTTTGGGACGCCCTGTATTGGTAGGCGGTGGTAGCGGACTATCGAAAGTGTACGGCATTTATCTTTTATTGAAGATTGTCTAAAGTATTAATAACCTGTGTTATTGCCGTACAGATAAAAGTCACCGGAAAATGACTCTTTTCTGAGAAAAGTAATTTGCCCCATACACCTATGTGTTCCACAAAAAATGTACGGCATGCTGGAAAATGTTATCTATTTGTGAAGTACTCTCAAGATCATTTAATTTTATGTTGATTCATATCATCATCACCTATGTGCTAATCAGACATATGTTGCGACCCTTGGCTTTCGACCGCTCCGCTGGGAATATGTACGGCGTTTACGGGTAAAGTATCTGTATATGTGTCCAAAAGGAATGACACAAATGCCGTACAGTAATAAATGACCTATATTGCTCCTGCAACTGTCGTCGAATTAAAAATTTGCACCGACTTCCGGCACCATCACTTTTGTACGGCACTAGGTTTTTCGACATTTATTTTTAATCATCTATACACTTATAACAAAGCCGTACATTAATAATTAGTCGAAATTCCCCCATTGTACATGAGAAAGTCCATTCACTCACGTACTCACATGTACCCTCAGAAATGACGGCATAGTGCTCAGAGCTATTTTCAGATATAGTAACAGCCTTCTAAGCGTAATTCACGTTGGGTCATTTCACAGGTATTTTTTGTTCATGGGCTTGTGGTCTATAAGGATAAATATTTAACAGAAAACTCCTTTATACAAAATGTATACATAATACATTAAATAAAGAATAATATCTAGTCTTTAAGTATTCTTAATATTTATAAAGGAACATTTCAGGATTCAATGATTCTTCTACAAATAATTAAAACAGGCTTTCTATTTTCAAAAGGTTTTTACCTATTTCTAATATTAGTATAGATGTATTGTACCATTGTATTATCTATGCTTACCTATCTTGCCATACAGGAGTTTCAGAGTCGTCTTCCTTGAACTTTGAGAGTCTCTCTTGGTTTTCTTTAGCCATTTCATCAAACAACTTTTGATCAAAAGTCCACCCTAAATCCGTACAAACTTCTTTGTAATATGGAGCCATGTTACCAGCTTTAATACCTTGAAGGAGTTGATCCTTTAGAGCCGGGTCGTTTTTCAATTCCGAGATAGTCAACTTAAACTTTATACCGGCTAATGCCATGTACTCTGGAGTTTTACCTTCTGCTGTGAGCTCCATTGTTCTATCTTAATGTTTTACCGCGACTAAAAGAATAAGACTTGTGTCAGATAGACAATAACTTAGAATGCATCAAAAATATAGTAATGTATTAATCATTTACCTTAGAAATTACAATATTCAACCACAAGCCACGATTTTGTTAGAATTGAACAATTAAAACATTAAACCTTACAATTCATTTCATGACTTTCGAAAAATTTGAAGCCAAAAGTCAAAACTGGAAACGTCAAGCACATCATTACACATAACACAGATGTCACTTCACTTCACTTTATTTATAATGGCGACATCTGTGTAAATCACAATTCCGCCAATGTCACGTTCTAAGTCTTCACACAGTGAGGATAGATTTGATAATTTTGATAGATTGAATTTTATCTAAGTAGAGTTACCCAAAACAAAAATGACATCACAATAAATACAACACACACAGACATCTAATAATATATACAAGAGGTTAACATTTTACTACAAGGTATGGAGGGGAGAATCTTATTTATAACTTTAATTTATTAACAGAAATAAATTTCCCTAAAATATTGACGATCGAGCTGGATGGGAGGGAAAGTAGGGAGTTAAGGTTACATGGACGAGGGAAATCTGAAGAAAGATGGTCAAATAACGAGTCATTAATTAAAGAACAGTTAAAAAATATGTGGTCTGTCGAGCCCTCGTCCATACCACACTCACAGAGAGAACTGTCTTTAATTTTAATTTTGGCTAGATGAACGGGAGTACAAGCGTGCCCTATACGAAGACGGCAGATTATAGACGTGACCTTTTTGTTTAAAAACTTATATTTAAAAAACCACGGCGAAGAAGGGATTGAATACTGAATATTAGCATAGTGCCTGCCAGTTTTTACTTTAGAAGATTGCCAATCAATAGTCCAGGATTTTAAAAGGTGGGAGTACGCAAGAGCTGATAGGTCGTGGGCCGAGATGTTGGGATGCTGACAAGATCCGCAGAAAATAGCACCTTTTGCACAAGAGTCAGCAGTTTCATTACCCGCTATACCACAATGACTAGGTATCCACAAAAGTACAATATGAATATCTTTTTTACTACACCTAAACAAAGCTTCTCTTATTTTTAGAATAGTATTATGTTTTTTTTTAGACCTGAATGGATTGGAAAGAATTGCCTGTAAACAGCTGCGAGAATCGGAAAAAATTGTAACTTTATTTAGGTTGTGGGACTCAGCATACAAAACCGCTTCTAGGATTGCAAAAGCTTCACCTGAAAAAACGGAGGTCAATGGAGGAAGTTTAAAGCTCAATACTGTTTTGAATGAAGGAACCCATACAGCCGCACCGATGTACTCATTATTGGGAATCTTGGAAGCATCAGTATACATCGGTAACCAACCCTGCCAGTCTTTTGAAATTTTTTCCAGAAAACAAGTGGAAGCTTGGGCGGATTTTTTTTCAATTCCAAAGTTTAAAATTATTTTAGGATCAAAAATGAGGGATTCATAACTATTTAAAAACAAGGGATTACTAGGGAAACTTTCAATAGGATTAGGAAGACGAGAAAGTTTATTAAAACTATATAACAGGCATGGAACATTACCTGTACTAGATGGCATCGTGAGATTAGATAAGCGACGTAATTTGGACAAGATGGAATGTGAAGAGTATTGAAGGACTTTGATGAAGAAGCGGTCACTTAAAAATTGTCTACGTAAATACAGGGGGGTCAACACATTCTATTTGGAGAGCATTGATGGGAGAGGATTTCATAGCACCAAGGATGATGCGTAAAGATTTCGATTGAATTTTGGAAATTTTATCAAGGGCTTGCTTGTTGCCAGGATCTAAAAGGAAGGTGCCATAATCAAAATGACTTCGTACCACAGCATTGTATAAAAGCTTTTGAGTAGGGGTGTGCTCCCACCTCACACCAGATAATGAACGGAGAACATTAACACCCTTCTCACTTTTTTTAATCACATGGTTAAAATGAGGAACACCGTTTAACTTTGAGTCTAAAATAAGGCCTAAAAATTTTACTTGCTTACAACACGATACCAAGGACCCTTTATATGAAATGTTACACCGTGGAACCTTGTATTTTTGTAGTAAATGTGACTGCCGAACATTTGGGCACAGAAATAGAGAGACCATGATCATTTAACCAATCACCCAAATAATCCAAAGCCGAATTTAGGCGTGATGATGCCTCTTCAATAGAATTTGATGAAAAGTATAAGGCTACATCGTCCGCGTATTGAAGAATCTGACAGAAGGAATTCACAACAAGCTCCAGGTCATAGGTGTAAATGTTGTACAGAAGGGGACTCAAAACAGAACCTTGAGGTAAGCCCCTCCAAATAGATCTAGGAGACAGCTCCGTATTTTGAGATCTTATAATAATATAACGATTCGAAATTGCATTGCAAACAAAACGTACCAACTTCTCAGGAATACTCAGCTGAAGCATTTTTTGCCTGAGCACTGGAACCAGCACGTAGTCATACGCAGATGCGATATCCAAGAAAACACCCACCAGGAACTGTTTCTTTTTAAAAGCAATGCGAATGTCGGTCGTTATTATACTTAGGCTATCCATCGTACTTAAGCCTTTCCTGAAACCAAACTGGGATTTTGCAAAGATATTGTTACTTTCACAAAACCATTCTAAACGAATTTTAATCAAATGTTCCATAATTTTTTAAAAGGGTAGAAGACAAAGCAATTGGTCTGTATGAAGAGAGATCTGATGGATCTTTGCCAGGTTTTAGAAGCGGAATGACGATTTGTCTATTCCACGATTCAGGAATAATTCCAAGATCGAAAAAACAGTTTACTAAATCTAGAAAGTACCTCTTAGTGCCTAATGAAGAATTTATGAGGAATGAGTAAGGGATTCCATCTTCTCCAGGGGAAGAGTCAGAGAGACCATTTAATGCTTTGTTAAGTTCTTCCAAGGAGAATTGACAATCTAGACTGTTTGAAGAGGGGATGTAAGAATTATACTTATAAGGAAGACAAACATAAAAAGGGACTGATGGAGGAGCGAATTTGTCGGCAAAGGAGGTAATCCAGCTAGACGGATCATTAAAAGGGACATCATAAGAATTGAGGGAACAACGGAATCTTCTGATCTGCCTCCAAACAACCGACGAAGGGGTACCAGGGCACATGCTCTCACAGAACTTATGCCAACCAAGACGTTTCTTATTATTAAGAAGTCTGCGAGCGGCTGCAGAAGCTTGTTGGTAGACTAAAAAATTTTCCAAGGTCATGCAAAGACTGTATGACCTTTCTGCCGTTTTTCTTTTTCGAATCATCTCAGTACATTCGGAATCCCACCAAGGAGGAGAAATTTTCCTTTGTGTAGAAGATTTCAGTGGAATATGTAAACTGGCAGATGAGGTGAGGGAGTTGACAAAATCATTGTATGAAGATAGGCAGTTTTCAACAGAAACTGCGGGGAGCGCAGCTATCTTAGAGTCAATAGAAGATGAAAAGTCTGCCCAATTGGCCTGATTCAGTTTAAATTTAAAAGAGGGGAAGGGCGAGTAACGCTCCTTAAATTGGTTGGGAGATCAATTAAAATGGGGAAGTGGTCACTCCCACAAGTGCTCTTAAAAACACGCCAGGATAGAAAAGGGAAAAGATCAGGAGAACAAAGTGATAAATCCACTGCGTTAGCGGGATTCTGAGATGGAAGACTCCTTCTCGTAGGACAACCATTATTCAAGACACTTATGTTTATATCATCGAGTAAATCTAGTAGAAGGGACCCAAAAGAATCTGAGGAATGACAACCCCAAGAAACATGGTGGGCATTGAAATCACCCAACATGACAACAGGAGGAGGAACCGAAAGGATAATAGAACGTATATCAGAAATGAGGTCGATATGGGGGTGGGGAATATAAACAGAAATAAACGAGATATTAAAAGCTCTCATAGCAACAGCATTAATACCATCACAATGAGGAAGAGATAATGAGTGGAAGGTGAGGGATCGGCTGACCAAAAAGGCACAGCCAGCATAGCCATCATCCCTGTCATCTCGGAGACATCGATACCCAGAAACCCTAAAGCGGGAACCCGGCAATAACCAAGTCTCCGAAATGGCTAGAATAGATGGAGCGAATTTATTGATGAGAAAGGTTAATTCGGATTTTTTACTGCGAATACTGTTACAATTCCACTGGATTACTAGATTCGCCATTTTTGGTGACGAATGAGTGGAGCAAATTAATTTTTTGGGCAACGTGGGACGGTATGGGGATGTCATCATATTTAGATAGCATGTTACAAATGACTGCCCATAAGCAGTCAAGAAGATTTTCATTTGGGGAGACTTCATTGTTGATAAGGGTTGGGGAGCTTACGGCACAACCATTGGGTAAAGAGGAGGGTAAATTGGAAGTAATGGCCTCATGGGCCGCCTTATCAAAGGATTTTCCTGATGTTGGCCTAGAGCGAGGAGGGAGAAATACCGTTTTCCTGTATGATGTTGTCTGACGGGAAACTTGGGAAGGTATAATAATGGGCTGGGATAAACTGAATGAAGGGGAGGGCGTTGTTTTAACAGAGTCTGCAAAAGTTTTGCCACTGATAGGTCTAAACCGAGCCGATGCTTCGAGATAAGAAATGCTCTCCTGAGACATACAACTCTTTATGTTTTTTTGTCGATTATGCTCAGGACAAGCTTTGTTGGTCGCATAGTGCGAGGCAGTACAAAATAAACATAGTGACTCTGATTCAGGGATATTACAATCATCACCAGAATGGGCTAGTGTACAACGAAAACACCTAGGCTTAGATCGGCATTGTGATTTTACGTGCCCAAACCTACAACAGTTTCGACACTGGATTGTTGGAAGTTGGTACGTTTCAACGCGGAGGGAACTATGACAAGAGAATATTCTCTCCGGAAGGGTTTGACCTTGAAAAGTTAGAACAACGGTTTGCGTTGGGATCCAATTAATTTGACCATCGGAGTTTGTCTTGCGGTTTAGGCGTCTGGCCTTGAGGACT